CAATACATGAGTGATTTTGTTTTCTGATTTGGTCGATGATTGTTGTCATTGGTGGTGGTAATGGTGGTGGTGATGAGGGCGGTGATGCTGATGATGACGATGATGATGAGGGCGATGATGATTTTGATGATGCTGTTGCTGGTGTTGCTGTAGTATGGGTGAGAATCTTTCTTCGATAACTAAGTTCAACAGCTTAGTTCTTTTTGTTTTCCTTTTTTTATCAGTTTGCTGTTGGTTGAGACTGAAGTTAGTTGGAGTAATCTTTGACCGCATCGTATAAAATATTGATTTTCTATACATCGATCGCTTTTGCAGGGAATGTTAAGAATGCATGACGACAAAGAAAATTTTTTAGTGCTCAAATGAAATAGTTTTTTTAATTGCAGGTTTTCTCTTGATTAATTTTTAATAATATTATATGTAAGGTTTTTCGTTATTGTTGTCATCATTATTGTTATTACAATTTCTATTTTTTTTAAAATTTTATTTTTGTTTTTATTTTCACTTTTATTTTTATTATTACTGCAATTGTGATCGTTAGGAGAATTTTGTGGGAAGTCTTTTTTTGTTATAACAAAATTCTTATTGGAAAGAACATTTAAATTGCGTTTAATTATTTTATCGATTTTATAGTAGGTTAACCAGATTTTTTTTTTCTTCTAATAAATTTTGAAGTATTCATCGTTACATTGATTACTTTATTATAAGGCTTCTTTTTTTTTTTGTTTGTTTTTTTGAAGTATGTTCAAGTTTTGTTTTTGTTTAATCAGTTTGCGAGAAAGTGAGCAGAGAGGGGTATACGAAGGGAAAAGGGAGAGAGAAATGGCAAAGGAATTTTTGTTGCTACATTTTGCTCTGTATCAGTGTTTAGTAGCATTTGATTGTAGCTGAAGTTAACTTTCTCATGTTACTCATGTATTTCTTTTTTGAATATTTCGCTAGAACAAGAAGTTTATGTATAGATGCTGTTTTTTAAGTAATAAGTGTTTTTGATTTATCTATGGTTTGACTTTTGAGGACTTGTTTTTGTCGCAGCTACAGGTTGTCTTGCTCAGAAAACTTTCTTACGCACTGCTTTTTACGTTTTATAAATAACTGGAATGTTTTAAATGGTATCAATTGCTGATTCTTTCAGAGGCTGAGGTTCCTCTGACAAATTAAAGATTATGTTCGATTATTTTTGGATGTAACTTTAATTACTTCACCTTTTGAGCGGATTTAGTTTGATACTTCCATAAGCGAGGATTTGTGAGTAAAAATATTACGTGCTTGAAAAAAAAAAGTTGCTGTCACGGAACTTTGAAATGTAGTTGTGACTGCAATTGATTCAATTGCCCTATGATTTTTTTTTTCTTGTGATAGTTGGTTGAAATGATTGGAGTTAAAGTGTGGTAGGTAATGAGTACATTTAAGTAATTATACTTTGTAAAATTATCGCTTTATGATTTTTTGTTATTTCAGCTCTGCTTATCACAGAGCTGTCTTTACTATTTAACGTCGCCTTTTTTTCAGTCTTTTATATATTTTCTATAAAGTTTTCAAGGTACTAGTAATTGATATTCGTCGTGCTATGTCACAGTGATGAACTTGAAACGAAGTGCATTTTTAGCATAAACAGATTAAATGTTGCGCAGAAAAAATTTTGTCAATGTTTGATTTTTATTCTCTTAAATATGGCTTTTGCAGAAATGTTACTTGTGTATTCCGGCTACCTATCAAAATGTTACTCTATTTATAGGATTTTAATTTCTTGGAAAGTTACAACTTTTTATTGTGAAGTTATTTGACTTATCATTTCTGCCAAAGTTTCTTCGTGTTTTTGCTGCCAGTTGCGTCTTTGCTCGTCTTCGTTAGGTTTTAACTTGGAGTTTAGGTCTTGCATTTAAACTGTATGTTTTTTTTTTTTTTTTTTTTTTTTTTTTTTTTTT